TGACCGTCAGTCGAACTCCACAACCCTGGTTGGCTGAGTTTCTTGACTTGACTCTTAAATCTTTAGATTGAGGGAAGAGTGGGCATCCGTGGTTTACAAGCAGGCAACCAATTGTAACCAGCAAACAGGTCTGGAGAGATCCTTGGGTCAGATTACCCTGCACTCTGTGGGGATTCAGGTAACTCCAAGCCTAACATGTAAATTTGCTAAATTGTTATTCAGCAAAGCGATTCAGTTGAATGTTCAGCAGGATGGTCTACCACCTAGCTAATCTGCTTTGATGGTATTTTGTTTTGTGAGGGTAGAAGAGATTTGATGTTTTCTTGTTGCAAAGATGTGGTGTTTTCCATATGTAACATAATAATAATTTAAATGAATAAACGTTGCATTTGACATAGCATCTAATCACATTATCGAGATGTCTCAAAGCACTTCACAAGACTTTACTGTGAAGTGCGGTCACTGTATTTGTAGGTGAATGCTTGTGTAGTGCTAAACTCTGCTGTGAAAGGTTGCAGGTATTGATCATACAGGTTCTGTTAGTCTCACAGACCACATGGATTGATGTACAGAGGAATTGCAAACAGAATTAGGGAGGCTTTGGAGTTCAGTGGAGTTGTGCTGTTAATTGCTCTTATTAGGGACTAATCACTGCTCAGCATATAGCTGAAGAGCAAAAACTTTAAAATCCTCCCACCTGTCATGGAGCTGTCTGGACCCCCCCACCCCCCCCCCACACACACACACACCTGCATACATATACACACACACTTGCATACATATAAACACACACACACGCACACACGCATGCACATATACATGCATGCTTCAGACACTACACAAAGTAGGCCACATATTTAACCCTTAGAACGCCGATGCTGTGCAAAGATTCTTGCTAAATTCCCTCGTGTTTTCAGCTCATGCCACATGACCCTGAAAAAATAGGTTAATGTTGCAGCAGCAAATTAACTGAAATGTTAAATGATGGTAACATGAAGCATATTCAAATAACTATAAAAGTACAATTTTCTCCATAACTTTACCAATCTCACCACATTTATTTCCATTTTATCCAATTCATTTTCATTGTCTTAAGAAGGGAGTTGAGGGGAATAAAAAAACTCAGCAATAATAGTTTGATCATTTGCATTCATTGATTTTAAAACTGCAAACCCTGATGAGAATAGCAGTAAACACAGGCTGGTATATATTTAAAAGTATTAATTGTTTAATTGCCTGTAATGAAACAATTAACCTAAGACATCACAATATTGTCAGTGGCTCTACTATTGTATTTTGGGTGGCGGTAAGGGGGGGCAAAGTGGGTGGGGGGTGAGGAGAGATGGATTTGTAACACTGCTTGCGGCTCTGGTTGGGTGGGGGGACGATCCTTGTTTAATGAATTGGAGAACAATATGTAAGTGTGGAAATTACATGGGAAAAGTGGAAGCCAAGATTGGGGTGGCAGTAATTGGATATAAGTTTATTTTCTTTAAAAAGGTACCATCTTCAAGTTTTCTTTCTCAGAGCTGAAAGTTGCCGTTGATGGATCATTGAGTTCAGTGAAGCTGTCCTGTTACACTTATTGGTCCTAATGAAAAGTACAATTTAATCACTGCTGTGCTAAATTGAGCATGATTAGCTCTTACTGCAGATTAGTGCCCTGTCTGCGGAGCATATTGATCTACGAGTGTTTCCGATGCACTTGCTCCCTGCCTCTTGCTGTGGTAATTGTCCAGATGGCATAAAACGCAGCCAAAGATTTAATAGGAAGTAGGTCACGAAAAGTGGGGGATTAGTGGCAAGCCTCATCCCTGTTCCGTAGGAGGTATGATCTCAAGCAGAGTACCTCATGCGTGTAATCATTGGGAATTAGAATTTCAAAAAGTGCTGCTGCCTTCAGAATGGTCTGTGATTGGGAATAAGATATTAGCTGCCTGGTACTTACTACTTCCATTTCTTCCTGCACGATATTTCAGTAAGCCTTTGTGAACTTACCTCTCGGGTGTACATCACTACAACTTGTACTTTCCAATGTACAGCTTTATTGCATTCTAAGTTTTATTTATCCCCTCCATTCCCTTCTTCCAAACCCACCCCCCCACCCCTACCTCCCAAACAGACACACTCACAGCATTTCTACACCCAACTAATTTATACTTTTTTCCCTGGTAACAAAATAGTCATGTGAACTCCCAAGTCATTATATGCATCCTGAACCCATACAGTAATAGCGATATCTTTTGCAAGTAATATCAGTGCTGTCTATTCTTGAATTGCATGTCTAGGGGAAGGGGGGTAGGAAGTGGAGGCCTGATACAGTTGTGTGGGTGGTCCTGTAAAACGAGCGAGCTGTGCATTGAGACAAATGTCTCTTGCCTGATGTAACCCTTTCGAGACCCGAAATTCACAGCATGAATCAGAGAATATAAACTAGATTTTAAACATGCCATCTGTTACAAACAGACATACATGTAACAGCGTTCACCTACAAATATACAGTCACTACACTTTATAGTGAAAACCTATGAAGTGCTTCAAAACGTTTCGACAATGCGATAAGGCACTATATCTAAGCAAGGATTGTTTGTTTGTTTGTGGGGATATAAAATACAAGGTCAGTGAGTAAAGGTATGGCACGAGTCAGAGAGATGAGGAGGATGCTGGATTGCGCCCAGGTAGCCAGCTCCAACTGGAGTAATGATCAGGATGTACAGCTTTCCTCAGTATTAAGAGGAAATAATCAATCCTGTGTGCCTGCTCCTAATTGCTATCCAATGAAACTACTACAAATTGCACATGTTTGGGTGTTGGGATCGTACTTGATTGTCATGCCCTCCACAGACCAACAGCCTGCCAACATTCACTGTGTAGGCTCATACGTGAGACCACTTGGGTCAGGTACCAGAGAGCTATTTGTGCCTGTGTGGAGCTTCTCCCCCCAACATCTGTCCAAATTTGCAGGAATGTGGAGGGGCAAGGGTTGAAATCAGAAAGGAGGGGTGGAGAGGAAATGGAATCCAGCCCTGATAGGGTTAAGCTGCACTTTTTGGTACAGACCAGCTTAATCTCCATACTTAGCACTGGATAAACACCAAGACAAGTTAAAAGCTCGCTGAGGGGTAAGACAGCCACTTGGACACTTCTGTTTAGGAAGTGCGGAGTTCAGTTACATTTGTTTGTAATTAAAACACAACCCCATGTGCATACAAAAGATTTATAATACACACCTCCAAAGCCTTGATAAAGTGGCTTGAATTTAGTGAGAATTTCAACCACAGCAAGATTAGGTCTCCTCCCTTCCTTTCATATTTGCACCCTCCACCCACCCCACTCCCCATTTAAAAAAAACACTTTAAGCCTAATGAGCTTGAATATTTTAAAGCTCAATAAAACATAAGACTTTATTTTTCTGTTGATTGACGGGCTTAAAAAAAATTCTGCCTGATGTTGAAAGAGCATGTGGTTTTCAAATCGAATCTAGCACCTTGAGTTTTCAGCAATGACTTGTAAATGACTCCGAAATATTGGTAATGTTAAGTCAGCATTTACTGTAGAGTCACCACGGTTCCAGGAACTTGCTGTAACGGAGATGTAGCGAAGCACTCTGGGTGGGTGTGAAATAAGTAGGTTCTGAGAGGGACTCCCTTTCCCCCCCCCTTCATCTTTTACTTTTTTTTCCTACGCACACAATCTCTCTGAGAGAGAGCTGAGAGCGTGCTCTCAGCAGCTGAAGGCTGTTGACATCTGTCAGTAGCTGAACGTGTTGATAGCATCTAAAGGAAGCTACTGGGGTTTTCTCTAGATAATTGTGACCATGCAGCAATTGCTAAAGTACTGCACATTTGGTGTTACTGAAATAATAGTGGACTTCACAACTGCTGATTGATGGGCTAATTGAGCTTTTCTATGAGATTTGGAGAAGGGAGTTTAAATTGTTGTCTAAAGTCCTGAGCTTTTCTGACTGTAAGGAAGTGTGAGAGTGCTATCAGTGTTGCTGTTCGGAGGATGAGGATAGTGAAGGAAGTGAAGTGACTGGTTTGTTTTGTAAGAAGAGGCAGGAATGTAGATCTACATTCCCAATAGTAAACAAGTAGGGGCATTGTGTCCCTTCATCACAGGATGTCCTTCCTTCAGCCAACTGACAGAGGCAGATAGGAGGAAGGGATTGACATAAGTCTCCACAACAGTGAGTAAAATCACTAATAACCCTCTACATCCCACGGGAGCACTTCTTCTGTGAACGGGTTAGCTGATCACATCAGCACTCTTGTTACCTTTTAATTTCGCTCAGAACTAGTACATTTTGTGGTAGAGAATTCTATTTTTGTTTTGCCTTCTATTTTTGCATTTACTAGTTTAATACGGCTATACAGATAACCCATTTAGTCAGGAGCCTTTTCTCAAGGTTTAGTTTGTGTGCTATGCTGGACAAGCCACATGGATTAGCCCTCATTAGACAGTCAGTACAAGGTTTGACTGCATGTGAAATGATTTCTAAAGCTGAAGATTTTTGCTTTGTCCTTTGCAAACCATCCTGGTAATTAGAAGTGAAGCACCGTGCAGTAGTTCAGCGTGTGCTGGTACTGATGAGGTTAAGACTAGGAAATTGTACAGAAGGAAAGGAATTGCGTGAGTTTACTTTGGCTGTTTGTGTGTTCCTCAGTCAGGAGCAGGATTTAAAAAAAAGTCCAATTGAAGGAACTTATTGGCTTCCTTTTCTTTAAAGGAGTTTTTCATCTAGGAAAGTAGCCTTCACAGTTTAGGTTGGCCACAGCTCAAATTTCAGGAGTTTTTTTAATATATAAAACTGGGGGTGAAATGTTCTTTGTTGCCAAGACTTGAGGAAAGGTGCCCTTGGATGCTCTTTACTTTCATTGGATACTATACTGCTGATGTACAGGTAAAGATCCCGCCCCAGCAACAGGCAAGTCTCAGCAGAGAGCATTTGGGGAGTGAATCATCAGGTCAGGTTTCCTATTAATAAACCTGAAAGAGGGAGGAGAAAGGAAAAGTCTGTTTGTTACACTGAAACTTTCAGTACGTGTAAACCACTCAGCCCTCCAGTGTGGTGAGAGGCATGAGCTCAGCACCTGCTATAACAGTGGAGTTTGGTATCTGTGTGTGTCTTCATCTTCTATGCCAAAGCTGACAGTACCAGTGAGTACTAATGGTAAACAACTGCACGCTACATTGGCAGTGTCTTTAATTTAAATTGCTTTTTGATTTCTGCCTTTCCTTTCCTTCTTTCTTTCTTAGTCTCTCCCATGCATGTTTTTTTTGTCCTCTTCTCCCTTTTTTATATAAAAAAATATTTTCTCCTTGTTAATTTTCTGCTGTTTCCTTTTGTCCCCTTTTCCTTATTACCTTCTCTGTTCCTTTTCTCTTTTCCTCTCCGGTTTGTTCTCTTTCTCACTTTTTCCTTTGCACCTCGTTTTCCTACCCCCATTCTTCTCTTTTCTAATCTTTCCTCATCTTTTTTCCTCTCCTATTTCTTTATCGCCTTTTTTTTCTTTGTTTATCTTTTTTAATCTTTCTAGCTCTCACTCTGTCTTATTTGACATTAAAATTGCTGTGATTTTGTAATAACGTAGTGCTTGTTGGAAATTAGTAAGAAAGAAATAATCCTCAAAAAAAGTCTCGCTTATAAGAGTAAAGACAGATGTGCTCCTTATTTTGTGTGTCTGATTTCTGACACCTCATATAAATAGATCTCCTATTTATTATCTGGTATAAATTTTCTGTACTTTTCAATATACAGGATGCCGGTGGTTTTAATTGTTGTGCTCTGGGAATGTTTTGAGGTGCAGTCAGTGATGATGCTGTAGGACCTGACATTGAGTCTGCTCCAAAGGATGAGGAGACGTCAGGGCCACTTGTTTTGAATATTGTTTGTGTCTCAGGAATCGGTGGGAAAATTTTAGGCTTCCCCATTTGGAAAGGCAAGCAGGTTCCGCTGCTGCCGCACGCTGTTCCAGATTTAGCTCAACAACGCAGACAACAGCTCCTTCCTCTTCCTCTGGTTGTTTGTGTCACTTTCTGAAGCAGCTTTTCCACAGGCTACTGGAAGCCCGGCCGTGACCTGAAGTGCACTTGGAATGGGAGAGCCATGCGGAAGGTTTCCTGTGATACAGACTGCAACATTTTCAAATGTGGGCTGGGAGGAGAGGGAGAGGAGGCAGAATGGTAGAAGCAGGAAACGGACGTGTACTTATTTTATATTTGAAGTATTGTTTCTTTCACCCACCCACCCACTGACCCATCCTCTCCCAACCACCTCCCCACAGAAAAACCTCCATATTATCTATTGTTTCAATTGTTCTAGACTAGATTCCATATCTGAGTCTACCAAACATGCAAGTTAGACTGCTTGGTCGATTACTCAAGCACTTTGAGCAATTTGCTGCATGGTAAAAGTGCCTCAGTCTGCTCTATTAGTCACACACTCTGTCTCTAAAGGAAACCACAGAATGTGGACAATCAAGATTTTCAAAGATTTTCTTCTTCTCTAGGCACCCAGGGAAAAGCCATTTGGATTCTAGTGTCTGAAGCCTGAAGGGAGAGCAGAGGGCTGGAGAGGAGAGAGGCCGCGGAATGAAAATGGATGTGGAGGTCGAGGATATGACCCAGTGGACTGAGTCCGAATTTGAAGAAAATTGTACGTACATTGTGAACGACCAGTCATGGGACCCCGGTGCCGACACTCGCCTTGTGCACGCACAGGCAACTCTGCCCCGGAATCTGAAGTTCAAGTACTCACGCGATTCAAATGAGGTGAGTTATGTCTCTGTCCAGATCCTCTGTAGCAGCGATAGATCCAGGGGAAAAGGGGGTGTGAAACTTTGCTGAGCTTATTGTTATAAATATAAATAATGATAACCCTTAAAATTAATTGAGCACCTATAACATTGATGTCTCAAAGTACTTTATAGCTAATTGCTGTCAAGCTTAGTGAGTATTTATAGACAAATTCACATTTTTAATGCAGGCACCCACACCAAGCCCTTTATTCAACTCTGAACATCAGCCTAGCTAAGGAATAGAGAGAGGGAAAAGATAGTCTCTCCGACTTCGCTAACTCAGAAAATGCTGCAGATGAATGGTTCTTTCTTTCTTTCTTTCTTTCTTTCTTTCTTTCTTGAATGAATGAATGAATGAATGAATGAATGAACTGGACCAAATACCCTGTATTTAAATGTGATGTAAATCTGAGTGGAGGATACTGAACACACTTTAACTCAGAACAGATTTGATACGTATTGTTTAAAGATGCCACCAGCTTCCTCGCTTTCAATTTGACAATAGTGTAAAGTGACACACTTCTAATAGCTTTCTATGTTAACGTGGTCCAATTTATTTTGTTAAAAAGAAGTTGTGCACTCCAGGAGTCTGTGGGTGGCCAGTGAGTGCTTTGTCTCATTAATCTGGCAGGCAGCGAGAGTTATATATAGTGTATCTACATCATAACTGAGAGCTTATAAACGCTTCAGCAATACATTGGCTACAAAGTACAAGGAAAACCAATAAAACAAGAGTGACAAATGCAGAAAATAATGTATGTTGGAAAGGAAGTCCCAAGACTATGAGTGACTTCAATTTTGCTTTAAATATTTGATCTAAAAAGCTTCTTAATTTGTATAAGAGTAGGTGAAGTGTTTTTTGTTGAGCAAATGTGTATGTGTTTTTGTTGTCCATGGATATGTGTGCTTTTGTTGAGTGTGTGTATTTAAAGGCACCCGAGTAATGCAGGCATGAACCTTAATGACTAGTATTAATGGTACTTTTCCTCGTTGGTCACAGAGGCTGAATAACATCCTATTCCCACAGTTTAGAAGCGGCTGTGCTGCTCTTTCAGCACTCACAGGAAGTGTAGAGACAGAGGAGATAGATGACACTGTGGTCATTTATCAGAGAGAGCGGCAGGTCAGAGCTGCAAGGTCGTCTTTGACCAGTTTCTTTATCAGTTTCACAAATTTGCACTCTGCAGTCGAGATCGCTCCTGAAGTGAGTGAATGTCTGTCTGTGGGTATGACTGAAACTCTATGACTTCTTCATTAGACTGTAGAAGCGTAGCATGCAGGCTTGTTCCCAACATCGTCCAGCTGATTTTCACAATTTTACTCCTCAGCTGTTTTAGGTTTACTCACTATTAGTTCCGTTTTTTTTTAATTCTCTCTTCCTCTTCCCCCACCCCACCCACAAGGTTTTGTTCGTGAACACAGATGATCCCTAGCTGTGCTCACCTGACATCCACACACATTTTCTGGGGGAGTGGGGGGCACTAAAAGCAGTAAGGAGTGGAAGTCCTGGTAGAATCCTGTACCTTCCCCCTTTTCCCTGCCGAGATGTAGGATGTTGAGATACACAGTAGTACATTCCTATTATTGTACTTCTGAAATGCATTTCCATTATATGTACACAATGATCGCAGAGCCTAGTGATGCACAGCAAGATGGGAGCTGTACATTTTGGCACATGATCAGCATCAATTCATGAGTAGTGAACACCATCGATTTGCAGAGTTCAAAACATTAGGGTTTTCTGCCTGATTCAACTAAATGTGGTATCCTTTAGCAAACGTCAGACTATCTGCTTGATGACTAACTTTAGACGGGACTGTCTCTTCAAATGGAGTGTTTACCCATTGCGATCAGCTAACTGGTACTGGGGATTTTTCCCATCTGTTTGACTCAGCACCACATTGTGTCTTCATTGACTAATTCATGGAGGAAGACAGAGATTTAATTTCTTGCATTGTTTCTGATCCTATTAATGAGCAAGCATTATAGCAAAGGGTCTGGGTATTAGTGACTCTGGGACCTCTCGCTCGCTGGCTGGCACTTGTAGCTGAATTGGCTATGTACCTCTCTGCCCAGGCAGCAGCATGGCAAAGATGGCAATGTTATGTGCAATGTGAAGTGAGTATCAGTGACCTGATGGCAGGCTCCAGAATTATTCTACCCCCCTACTCACATTGTCTGAAAACATGGTATTACACAAGTAGGAAGAATACTTGAGGCAAATCTTTATTGCGATACACAATGCAAATTTATATTTATGTACTGCCTGCGTTTCACATCTGGAGGACATGAAAGTTTCACTCCAGGTGTGAAGCTGGATTTTCTTCAGAGCACACTCCACACCAGGTTCAGTCTAGAAGTTTAAGTTGCAGCTGTTTCAAAACTACAGAAATAAGAAAAATGAAGAGGAATTCTCAGGGTTAAATTTGACCACTTGCCACTATTGAGCTTTGTTTAAGGTAGGGAGCTGGCATTTACTGTGATTCAGTGACAGTGGCTTAACATAGACATTAAATAAATTGTATATATATATATGTGGTTTCCTTGAAAATATTTGTCACTATCTCACAGTTATTTATGTTTAATTTATGAATAGAAAAGCATGTTCTTTCCCTTTGACTGTCGCAATAAAAGAATGCTTTGAAGAAAGTTCCCTCATGGAGTGAGTGGACCATGTAAGTTGCAGCTGTCCTAAGACTCTTGTTCATTTATTACTATAAAGACACTTTTGACTATGGAATTTCCCGTCAGGCCCAAAAGAAAATAGGTGTGCAGTTTGCATGTTGGGTTTGATAAGCAGTTTTTAGGGGGAAACAGATAAAATTGTAATAGAGGGACATCTTTGTATGTCATGGGCATTCAATGTCCCGTGTTTCATTAGAGGCAAACTGGCCTCAGAACTCTATGTGGAATTCTCCTTGTGTAAATTCACGTACAGAGACAATGAGGTGGAGTTTGCAGCATTATGTGAGTTAACTAACATAAAGAACTGGTTATGAAACACCATATACTTCACTCCCAACAAACTGTGGGTGGTGACCCCATTCACAATGTCACCGAGAGAAAGAGAGACTCTTCAAAGAATGCCTGCCTGCTGGCTTCTAGCTAGCGTATTCGATGCTGGGTAATCAAAGAGATGACTGTAACATTGGTAAGTGTATGGCTATTGCCCTCTGTGACAATTTGGTAAACGCTCTTTGGCTTTAACATTTTCCCATTGTGTTCCTTTTTGTGGAAGAGAGATAGTGGAGGAGCTTACTTATGTGCAACACTGGTCTTTCTGGTGGCAAACTCAGACAGTGTGCAACAATCGTTTCTTTAAACCATCGAGACCTGTTTTTCCTGGATTTTCATTTATGTTATGACTACAAACTGACTTTTCTATCAAGAATAGGGGAATTTCTCCTCCTCCTCTTCTTCCTCCTCCTCCCCCCACGCCACCACTACCACTGCCAAAGGGTGGGTGGAGATGGCGTTGTTAAAAAAATAAGAAGAAAGCAAAGCATTGAGGTTTCAGATCTCTGAATAGCATAGTGTAATTAAACATTGCAGACTCTTTAAAGGGCTGTTTTAAAGGCAAACACACCTAACTATCATGACATGCATGCTGTAATCACCACTGCTTTTCAGACATTTAATTAATAACTTGCAGTTGTTTCCTATGTAAATACTTAAAGTAAATTGAGTTAATGAAGACTGTGCTTGACTGTTTTTTGTCTGGGAGACAGACATAGGCAGGATGTCTTCACTGACCTAGCCCGCTGACAAAGATAGATGCTCCTCAGTGCTAGAAGGGTCAACGCTGCCATAAACTATCGAGAGCAATGGCTTCTGAGGGGGATATCAAGCATGAAAGTGTTGAAGCTTTCTACCTGTTATCCACCATGTGTTTATACTTGCCAGACATCAGCCCTGCCCTCCTGTGTGATTCATTAGGGTGGTGGTCAGTTACAGTGGCTTTTCGGATCACTGTTAGGACAGATTAATGCAGAGCTGAAAGCTTTGTGCACTTGATTTTAAACAGCCACCTTTTAGCGTAGCACATGTATTGCTGGGTGATTGGGCCAATGTTTAGAATAGGATGGAGGATGAATGTTCTTCCCAAGTGACTAGGTATAGGGAAAGAGACCATTTATAGCAATGTGCTTTAAGTCTACTTTGTATGCACCTTCAGTGGTGAATCATGGCCATGCCGGTGAATTTGTTTTGGTAGAAACTAGCCATTTTGATTAGACTAGTTGCCAAATGCACCAAGTAGTGTGGTGCTCAGCTATCCAAAGGAGTCAAAAATGGGTCCCAGGATACAAGTGGGTCAAACAAAAACCATGGGAAAATTTTATTAGGAAATTAGAAATTAGAAAGTAATTGAAATAAATCAATATAAAGGATATAGAGAGAGAGGAAATTGGGATTATAATAATGATAATCCTTGCATTTGATATAGCTCTTTACCACGTCTGCAAGACATCTCAAAGCGTTTCACAGAATGTACGGTAAAGTGAATTGACTGTAGGGTGAAACGCAGCAGCCAATTGCTCACAGCAGTGTCCCACAAACAATCATGGAATGAATGACCAATTTTTTTTTAAGGAATTATTACCCCCGGAAAAGCGATCTGCCAATCAACTAACACCCGGGTTCCTACTTATTGCTAGGTAAACAGAGGAGTATGGAGTAAGGAAACTTGTCCAACATTTCATCGTGCCCGGGGATCGAATCCAGGTCTCTCGCTTGCGAGGCGAATGCTCTAACCACTGAGCTACAGGACTCCCAAGTACTATAGTAATTATAGCACAAGAGGAGGCCAGCCATTCGGCCCATCACTGGTTGATCTAGGGTCGATTAGCCGAATGGCCTTGGGTGCTGTGCTGCTCCATTAAATGGTTTAACCCACGCAGAATGAGAGGATATTAGAGATGACTTCAACCAAAGTTATATTTACCTGTTTTCTAAAAAAAAACAGGATTGTTTCTCTGGGTTTAAAATGGGAAATTCCATTATTGAACTTTGGTGGAAAGATTGTTATTTTTGGTCATCAAAGTAGGTCAGATCCTAATGCCTCGTGGGTCAACAAGGGGAAGTATCAGCCCGGGTTCTCGCTGGTGGCTGCTACTGGAAAGAGTGAGTGGTGGACACTCACACGGACCATGTGAGGACATTTGGCACCTTGTCCCCAGCCCTGGTGAAAATACTATTTGTCACTTATTGAGGGCACAGTGAAGTGGCAGAGGACTAACTGCTCCCCTAGACCTGTACAGTGTGGTGAGGTTGCAGTGAGCTGACAGCTTGTACAGTACAGCGAGCCACTGACTTCAGGTAGTAGGCCTTTGACAAGAGCTCTCTCTAAATTTGTGATTGTCCCTTTAATAACCCGTCAAATGAGTTGGTTTCAGGTTCTGTTCTCGAGGTGATTTTTAGAATTGCTCTTTCTCATAACTATCTCTTGTGCATACAGGTGTGAGGACTGTAAACAAATGAGTATACTCAGAAGTAAAAACAGCTATTGTGAAATGCGTTTTGACAACACTTATTAGTGGCGACAGAACAAAAATAACTCTGTGTACTTGGGCTCCTGGCACCACTGATCTGTGAAAAGAAAAGGTTAACTTAAGCGTTTTGTGCGGTTTAAGCCAGCCTCATTGGCATAGGGATGTTGCTGCATCATGATGCACAGATGTATGAGTGAAAACCCACAACATGGAAGTAAAACTTCAACTAGCTGGCTATTTACAGAAGTGTTTCACTGTAAGAAAAGGCCTGAGAGCTGTCAGATTTTTTATTTTTGAAACGAAAGTGCAAAATTATTTGAAAATTCGGAGAGGGATTAGAAAAGCAAGTGGGAGAAATGCAGGTGTGTCCTGCACATGAGAACACAATACTATACTGAGTGACCTTAAGCAAAAAAAAACTTACCTTTGGCACTTGGAAGTCAGCAAGACCCAAATGTGAAACCCAGGCCCAAAACTGGCACACCAAATATAGGTGTGTATGTGTGTGCGTGTGTCTAAAATGTTCCTTCAGTTTCTGAGAGGTGGTGGATTACACTAACTACCGCAGCAGTTTAGTGCCTGGATAAATAATTGGCTTCCCGACTTGACTCATGAATGGGATATGCAGCGAGTGCAATAGGGAATCAAACGCCTCTTCTTCCTAAGTATAGGTACTAATCCAGGAATTGTCTAGGAATTTCTTTTGTATGTTTCCTTTTGGTTTGCGTGCACACACTCTGTCTGGGTATCCTGAATGCCTTGCTCTCCAAAATCACGTTTTAAACAAATTGCACGAACATCAACCCCAGTGCTGTGATTCGGCAGCGACAGCTGTTCAGTGCTGAGTGTCTGACTAGACAATTCCTATTCTGCACTGACATTTGCACTCACAACTTTGTGCACACACCGGCCAAACCTGCTGGGTTTCACGTGGGAGCCAGTTAGAAGCTGCTGATGGAAGAAGCTTCCGTTCTGTAATGCTTGAGTAACGGTCTTGAATGACCATTTCAGGAATATGGGGGCGAGTGAGGAGGGGGGGGGGTGCAAATTGTAGGTTGGCAGATGCTATCTATTAACTGTTGATGGGCTGGAAAGTTGTATTGACTCTGGGTGACAGTGTCTCCAGGATGACGCAATGTGTTGCTGCTGTGGCATTTGATGACTGTGAAAAGCTGGCATTTGGCAGCAATTGAAAATCCTACAGAGCACAATAATGCCGTTTAGATTTACAGCTGACTCACTTACTCGCTGTGAGGAAGTGTGGCTGTGGACTGCATGATAAATATGTGCGATGATTTGAATATTATCTTATCTACATTGAGATAATTAGCCTGATGAGAAGTTCTAAAGAAATAAACTGCTCCTATAGTCATAATGCAGTCAGTCATTAGACCGGTCCTGGATCAGAGCTGTCCTATCATGGATCATTTTGGGAACTTATTTAGGGAACAAATTTTGCAAGTGTCACATTGCATCAGGTGCTTGCATGATTTGGCGGTGTTGCTCCCCCTTCATATCTGGCTATAGTGTACGTTTATGCAGCGTGAACTCTGAATACAGAGCCTCACACCTTCTGGCACTGTCTCCTCAGGTACTGGGAGTTCTGAGCATTGAGTACATACCGAAAGGAACTCGATTCGGACCACTCATCGGTGAAATCTACACCAACGACACTGTGCCGAAGAACACAAACAGAAAATACTTTTGGAGGGTAAGTTTGGGGAGGGGGAGGAAAGGGAAGAGAAAACAAATTCTGTTGGTGCAACGGCTAATTCACTAAATGAATACTGCTGAAAAAGTTTGTCACTTCCTGTTTTACATCAGCAGTGGCGAAGTTCCTGTGTCACACCATATATGTAGCAAAGTGGGAGTGTAAATTAGCTGAGTAACTGTCTGTGCCACAGTGAGTGGGGAATCTCGAGGGAGGGCCTCTTGTTCGTAATGAATTGATCTCGGCTATTCTTGGCCCTGTATGTCAGAACATAACGCTTTTCATGGAATAGGAAACGGTTTAGTTCTGCTCGGAGGCAAATTAAATTTGCATTTTGACTGGGGACTAATTAGAAACAGTTGATGCAAAATCCTGGGTTTTATTTCCTCCTCTTTAACCACCAGTGACTTGGCAAAGGTCAATGAGGAAGGAAAGTGCATTTTAGTTCAGGGTTCGAGACATAGGTCTAAAAGCAGTATTTTAGAGCCCGTTTTTACCCTGGTCATGACTTGCCTCTGACCGCAGAGCAATGATCCAGGGCAGGAAACGAGCGGTGATGGATTCAGCAAGAGCAGTGCTCCTCACAGACTCAGCTGGGGCATGAATATCGTTTGTTACAGACTCTTGACTTGCAAACGTGATTTAAGCTAACACCCTTCCTTTCACCCCCACTCCATGCGTTACATATACAATACCTTTCAGGCAAACCCTATCCAGACCACTATTAGTAACAACAACTTGCACTTATATAGCGCCCTTCACACAAGGCAGTGTCCCAGAGCGCTTGATTGGCAGGCTGGCTATTAGCCATTTTGCCCAAAATTCCCTCCTGGAGTCCTTCTGACTAGTTCTCCTCCCTTCTTTCAAATCAAGTCGCAAAACCTCTCCGGTCGTGTTTTCGGTCATCTTTCCCAATGCCCTTGACTCCCACCCTCAGCTCAGGTGCCCATCACACATTTTGGGACATCCTCCTGGAGTGAAAGGAGCTGTATAAATGTAAATTGTCATAATGCATTGACGTACTGATGTACTTGGGAGGGTGTTTTGCATACATGATGCTAGTTTTTACTAAGGGTTTATCAATGTGTTTGACATTAATTGAAGTCAGAGTGTGGTGGGGGTTGCAGAGAAAGAGAAGAGAGAGAAAGGGAGAGGCTCTAGATTGGCTTAAGCTTCACAGCTCCACAATATGTGATTGCTATGTGTAAGAGACATCAAAAACATCATGTGGAGGACACTCATTCATAGCCACCTCGACCATTGATGAAGTACTGTGGTATCCCCTTAATGAACTAATTTTAAAATCATTAAATTGTTGCAGTCTTCCATTCAGACTAGAGGCCCAAATTCCACCTAGTCTTAACCTGCGAGACCATTTTGTTCTAAAATTTAAGATGGTGCAGGATTGTGGAAAATTCTGAAATTCATTTTTAATTTGGAAGTAGGCTCTTCGGTAGTTCTTAGAGGAACCGATTTCCAAATTAGAACTGAAATTAAGAATTTCCACAATTCTGTGTATTCTTAAATTTTAAGTTTTTTTCCAGCTGACATTAGATGGAATACGGCCTCTGTTTCCTATATTTAGTCATTTAGGACTTACATCTGGCCTGGATTCTCAAACTGCAATACTATACTGCGGTGTAGGCTGATCAGAGTTGCAAAATATTTTACTAATTACCAGAAAAACTACAACATGATGATGTGAATGCTGCTTTTTTTCTTCTTCCTGTGTACATTATGGCATGGAAATATGATTTGAATTTGGGTCTTGCTGATGTCATGGGAGCTTGTGTTTTCAGTTAGGTTGTACAGTAAATGAGAATGTGGAAAATCATTGGAAGGCTTATCAAGATTTCAAATACACACACACAATGTCTTGTAATGGAAGTGACAGTCATCAATTCCTGGAAGTTTTTCAAGAGAGAAAAAGAATAATATTTCACACTAAACAAAACCTGAAAACCTCTCTGGCCACATATCACCTCTTCTACTGTTCCATTTCTCATATCAAACTCACCACAAAACTTTGGACCACAATATTCTCAAGAAGCCAAATGTATTTTTTTCCTCTTTGATTTTTACAGGAAGTGTGTATTTTGAGTGAGTGAATGAGTATGTGCTTGATTGCATGTAGCTGTGTGGTGTGCATGTATGCGAGAGAGTCTACTTAGTTTGAAAACAATATTTTTCTGCCACCGAATATTTCTGTTGCTGCTTTGGAAAAGCTGTTAGAGGCCCTACAGCAAAGCAACAGGTAATTGGTGCCTTGCAACAGAAGCCGAGCATGTCATTGAGCAAAGATCTTTTTGATCTGGCTTCAAACAGCTGTACACCCTCACTAACGGCAGGTGATCCCTGCACAAGTCCCTCCCAGCTGCTTCAGAATTCCAGGTAATTTTATCAACAGCGGCTCAGCACTGAAGACAGGAAGCTTTGCATAGCTGTGGCCCTGGGGTGGGGGTGGTAAGAAAATGCGACTTCTGGAGGCCAAAGATTCAATTTGAATAGCCTTGTAAGGTTTGACGTCAAGGCCAGGGTGACTCAACACATTGTCTGTGCCTATAAGTGCAATCAGAACTGCAGCAGATTAGTGCTTGCTGGTTGCTCTGACTGTGGGGGTAAGAAGTTCTGCGCTGCAGGACAAGGATATATATAGATTAGATAGATATAAAACCTCCAAGAATTTCGCCAGAGCAAACGCACATAGCAGGTAACTGTTAAAATGATCTTTAATACGGTTAAATTACAAACCCACATTTGTGACTTTTGCCCATTAAAATTGTTTTTTATATATTATATACTCATTTGCATTTGTTTCACTCTTTGCTTTTTACCTCTTTAAAGGATACATACTGAGTTTTGTTTGCTTTTCACATTATTGTAGGTGTACTCAGATGGCGAGTTCCACCATTTCATTGATGGGTTTAACGAAAACAAAAGTAACTGGATGCGATTTGTGAACCCAGCCCATTCGAAGCAGGAGCAATGTCTGGCTGCTTGTCAGAACGGAATGAACATCTACTTCTACACCGTGAAGCCCATCCCCGCTAACAGCGAGTTGCTGGTTTGGTACAGCAGCGAGTTTGCCCGAAGACTCTGCTACCCACCTTCAGGTGATCTTATGATGATTAAGCTGAGTAAGTGTGTCAAAAGCTGAGGTGATCTGAGTCCGAACCAAAAAAACAAATGACTGAAAATATCAGAGACTTTAGTTTGAGGCATTCCAAAAAAAATTTCATTCCTTATTCAAAGAGTTATAAAAGTGTGTGAAATCCATTGAAAAGAGACAGAGATACAACAACAACAAATTGTATTTATATAGTGCCTTTCACATCAAGAGACATCCCAAGGTGCAGGACCACAAGAGTTTGCACCTGAACAGTGGGGTTGGAATCAAGAGGGATGAAGGATAAGGGGGGGTTGGAAGTGGGAGGATGACCGAAGGCACGGTCAAAGAGCAAGATCTTGAAGGAGGCAAGGGAGGGAGCGAGACAGAGGTTTTCAGGAATGGAGTTCCAGAGGGTGGGGGCAGAAAGACTGAAGACTCAACCTCCGATGGTGGAGAGGGGAGGGCAAAGGACATGGAGTAGGCCAGGGCCTGCTGAGTGGAGGGAGCGGACAGGTTGGTATGGTACTAATAGGTCACAGAGGTACAGAGGAGCAAGACCGTGGAGGGCTTTAAAAGAGAGGGTGAGTATCTTAAACTCAATCCTCTGTGGGATGGGGAGTCCATGAAGCTGGGTGAGGATGGAGGTAATTAGCTTATGGAATGGAACTTGATGAGTGAGAGGACATGAGCTGCAGAGCTCTGAATAATCTTGGTAGGAATTCAACATGTAAAGCCCAAGGCTTTACAGTAAAGCTTGAGTGAGGTTTTAACAGTGCATCTTAAGTAAGGAATGCAATGTGTTTAGGAATAGTTTTATACATCTGTATATGTGTTTGGTTGCAGCCATGCCTTCAGCCACTATGCCCCGAGGCTCTGGAATTCCCTTCCTCACTTCCTTCGCCTCGCCCCCTCTCTTCCTACTTTCAGGTCCCTTCTAAAGACCTTTCTTTTTGACCACGCCTTTGGTCACCTTCCTCCCCCCCCCTGGCCTTGCCCCGGGATTCGTTACTGTGAAGCGCTCTGAGACGCCGTCCGCCGCGGAGGGCGCTATATAAATCCAAGTTGTTGTTGTTTGCAGTTTCAAGTTTTGGGGGTTCGTTCCCCTCCACCCACCATACATTGCTCATATGGCTGTTTGTACAACTGTAGACAGAGTGTGTCAATAGCCTAGTTGACTGAATAATAATAATAATAATAATCCTTGCATTTGATATAGCGCTTTTCACGTCGGGAGGACGTCCAAAGCGCTTCACAGAATAGACTGTAAAGTGAATTGACTATATTTGTGGGCGAACGCGGCAGCCAATTGCGCACAGCAATGTCCCACAAACAGTCCTGGATTGAAAGTGACCAATTTATTATTGTTTTTTTTTTTGGAGGGTTTATTATTAGGCGTGTGGAGTAAGGAAACTTGCCCAAGGTTTCGCCCTGCCTGGAACTGAACTCAGGTCTCTCACTTGCAAAGCGAGTGCTCTAACCACTGAGCTACAGGACTCCACAAGGAGACCATCGCAACTGAGACTCATCTTGTCTTCACTCAAAGTTCATTACCACATTAGAAAGAAGTTTCTCCCAGTGTCCTGGCCAGCAAGCCACCTGATAAAACCCGTGATTATTTCATGACTGTGTGCAGGACATTGCTGTGCCCAAAATAGCCTGCTGTGTTCACCTACAAAATACAGTCAGCACACTTCTGTAAATCCCGTGAAGCACTTTGAGACATCCTAGGAACGTAGGAACATTCACATCCTCCCCATGTGAACGGCGCTTTATCAACAGAAGGATTTTTACATCTCCAGCAGAAAGGTTACTGGTTATCTCATCCAGAGCTGGAGACCTGGGTGATTTTTCACCCCTTTCCTAGCCCAGGGCGATGCTCAAAATGTAACACAATGTAATGCACTAATTTCTGCACCTGTAGGGAGAAGCCATCTAATAATTACTCTAGGAAGGTTATATTCCCAGAACTAATAATTCAGTATCGCTGTGTTAAATTGATTGGTACTGGTACGTTTAGAAAGTTATTTATTTATTGTGGCTTTAAAAAGTAGAAAGATAGGAACTGTGCCATAATTGTTCTCATAAGGCCTCAGTGTGGGCAGTATCGGACTCTGCCTCTCTTTCTCACCTCATCCCCCAATTTTGTTGTGGTCGAACAGCTGGCATGTGCTAGCTGCAGTAACCCTATGAGATAATCCCAGGGGATCTGGCCAACATCCCACCACTGTGGGGCTCATCTTCTTGTGGCCTCTGTGCTCTACATGGATTTTTAAAAAAAGTCTTAACATTGAAATTAACTTTCAAGAAAGAGGAAAATGAACAAGGTTTACATGGGGAGGGATGGATGGGCAGTGCTCCTATCCATACTACCCCCACCCACCCCACTCCCCCGAAGAAAAGTAGTGCCCAATTAATTCTTCTCCCCCCACCCCCCACAACAAGACTGACTTTAAATGTCTTTGCTCCACACAGAGTGCCTCAGCCTACCTCGAAGTGGGGAACCACGGGAAAAGTGGCAGCCCAACCGTTCAGAAGGCCAAACAAATGGTAAGGAAGGAGCACAAATGACTGCGCTTAAATAATATATTAAAGCAAAACATTGAATGTGCAGTGATTATATTAAACAAATCAAAGTGACCTTAGGATAAGACTTTATTTTAAAAAATGTATCTTGGGTATTTCTTTAATCTACAATGTGCGAGGGATTTGGATAACTTAATATGTACTGCCTCTTCTACTGAGTTTACTTTTAATGGAGGCCTGGTCTGTTGCCCTTATAATAATATTCACATTATCTTAAGTATGTGACACCTCCATTCTCATTACTCTAAACCTTTTTGATGAATTCCTCTTTAATTTACCCGTCTGGCCAACATAGATATTAATCTCTAGGCTCCTTTACATTTACAAATATACGCCACTGTCATTTTTCTAAGCGTTGAAACTCTTTATTCACAGAATCTTTCATATCTCCCATCTCTATATGGCTCTAAAGAGTAATTATAATTTGTAGATTATCTGCCCTATGCTTAACAAGAGGGCAGTGGCTTTTTGATTTTGTAGCTGTCGGCATTTTATTATAGAGTGGCTTTTTTTTGCTTCCATAAATATTGTGATTAAGAGCCAGGCCCAATGACAGATTGCTCAGTGAGGGCTGTGAGGATTTCTCTGTGCTCAGTCACTTAACAACCAAGATGTTTAAGATAATGCCTTTGGAAGCTGGGATAATGTTAAGCACTCGTCAGACTCCTGTTTCTATGGTCAAGGGATGATAATCACCCTGGAAAAGAATGTTGGTTCATATTGTCTGACATGGGCGAATTCACTACACAAATGATTCTCAACCTGGTGAGATTTTACTCTGTAAATCCACTTTTTGGTGGTTTCTGCATCCACGCCAAACCCCTAACAATGGGAATTGGCGGTTACAAACTAACTAACTTGCTGTTGGCTGGTTTTGGTGTTTGCTGACTAATGCTTGCTGGCAGGTGGCAATCTCTCCAGCTGGACTGGAAATGTATTGACCAATTTCTGGAATTGAATGGTTGAGATTTGCTGACAAGTTGACAATGCCCAATACTTGACCAGTCATGCTTCATAGTGGTTACAAAATGACAGTTTGAATAACGACCGTCCGGTTAGTTCCAACGATTCAACTCATTTACACAATCTGTTGCAAACATAGCTTCGCATTTTAAACCCACCCCCCTTGAACAGTTTTGATCCAGTTGGCAAAGTGCATTGGCTTCACATCAGAAGAGCAATGAAACTTATTTCCTTTCTCCTGGGCCAAAAATACCAAACAGGCCTGCAAAATGGGAATAGAGCTTCAGCAAACTGGAGTGTGGTAACATCTGTCTGTCGATACTACAGTATCTTCAAGGGTGAACCAGTGGTTAACTCCTGGTAACAGGATCATTGCAGCTGCATTTCCTAGTTTTTTTTATTGCTGTTTTATTCTGTACTTGTTTGTCGAATGGGCTACTTTGGTTTTGAGTGTAGGTGGCCTTTTATTTCATCTGTTCCTCTGAACAGAACACAGAATCAGTCACAAACCGCTGCATTCTTTATTTTAGTATCAAATGTGATACAACAGATTCGGTGTGATTTGTACAGAGAACCAGAGGCATTCCCCGCCTACAGCAACTGCGCTGTTTAGACCTGGTTGTGGCTTTTGTAACAGCAGGTCAACCCTTCACATACTACGCTTTCCCCTGCATTCAAATCATAAGCAAAGCCTCTGCCTCCTCCTATGTGCTCGAATGAGACCAGCCAAGCTTCTTAATAACAGAAATTGTGAGAGGGGATGAGTAGCCACGAGAGGAGAATGTCAAAGAAATCCCACGTTGGGGTCAAAGCAGCATTTAATAAAAGGGGGATTTTAAGAGGTGACTCCGACTGATAGAAAAGTGAGGAGGAGGAGGAAGGTGTAAAACTGATCATTGCTCAGTGGGCCTGAAATTCCACCTAGTCTTAGCTTGGCAGACCATCTTGTCTTGAACTTAAAGACAGAATTGTGTGGAAATTTAACTTTTAATATAAATTTGGAACCTGTTTTCTTTTTAAGAACTGTGGAAAACCAGCATTCAAATTAACGCTGAATTTAAGGATATTTCACAATTCTGTGTGATCTTGAATCTTAACACAGAATGGTCTGACAAGCTAAGACCAGGTGGAATTTCAAATCTTGCATATCCCCAACCTGTTCAGTCTCCAAATCCCTCATGGCCTTTGTCTTAAATCAATTTTTAAAATGTAAGATTGTGCAGAATTTTGGAAACGTCTTAATTTAAAACTTTTTTTAAATGCATTTAGTTTGGACAATTATTTTTCTAATTTTTCTCCCCACTGGCACTAGGCTCTGTGCTCCTGGCCTACACCCTCTCTGGTTTTGTTTCAGTTCCTCTGGTGCTGATTGCCCTCTGCTACCTTGTCCAAGTGACCATCGTTTGTGTATGAGCACAGTTCAGTTCACTCAACTGTAGAGATCATAAGACAAACATTCACACACATGTGCAACCCGTAGAGGGAAGAGGAGCAGGAACCCTGGATGATTTTCTCAGCATTCGTCCAGGAAAGATTAGGATAAATTAAGCCTCCCATGCAGCCCAGGCTGATACCAGCAAACTCAGCACAAGCCGGGATTTGAACCAGTAATAGCTTCTGGTCTAAAAGCTGCAGACCTACAACAACAACTTGTATTTATATAGCACCCTTCTATCCACTACACCAGCAGCACTGCCACCTGAAAGCTAGATTTAAGGTTTGTGCAAAACCAGCTTTCCCATTAATACTGAATTTCAGAATTTTCCAAAACTGCACGATACTGCAATTTATTACTGCAACTTGTGGCAAACACTAGTCAGAATTTAGGCTTCTGACTGCCTAAGGTAGTAGGTTGATCTGACGCTCCCAACATGTATTTTGATTATCAAAGTCAAACGGGTTTTCATATTTTCAAAGAAAAAAACAATGTATTGAAAGGAAGAGCGGATTAATATTTTCACCAGCGTGATCTGTTTGTAATTAAAAGCAACCCACTGCACTTTAAGAATAAAGAGTCATTCAAAGTGCTGCATGTCAACTATGGTAATTCAGATTAATAGGTCGGTAAAATGGCAAGCAGCATGCTGTGGTACTGCCTCACATGCCCCCAAGCAATGCTAATTGTCACCTCTTCCCCAACCTTCAGCGTGGCCACTGAGGGGTTCACTGGTTGCTTTTATTTCCTTGGTACTTTTACTGTGAAATAATTCACCAGTGACTACTTGAACTTCCTGCCTGCCAAGTTCCAGTTGAGAGATTGATATCTCCCTGATAACCTCATATTTATTTTCATCTCGTGGCCCAAGGAAGCCAAATCCTGCTATCAGCCTTTGCTATCAGCACCTTGCCTACAACATCCACTCACTCTTGTTTGTTTAACCGTGCCAATGCACAAAACCCTTGATGACTATAGCTCAGCAGCTCTGAGCCCTGAAATCCAAGCAAACTCAGTCTTGGCTTCTAAAGAGCACTTTGTTTGACAGCTCCAGGATGTCAGGTTAAATGGCAGTCAGGACAGGTCACACGCCTTTTACTGTGGTGACTGTGACAGCCTCGATATTGACGTCCTCCTGACGTGAAAGGCGCTATACAAATGTAATCTTCTTGTTGTTATTGATGTAAGTAAAACACAAGGACTGTAAAGAACGGATTCACGTTCACACATTTTTTTTAAAAAAATCAGAAACCTGGGTCCCTGCTTTACAGTTGTCATTTATCTCAGAAATAAATTTCTTGAGTATACCTTGGTGAGGTGGACCTGGTCAAACAGTTAGTGAAGAACCATGAGGTGTACATTTGCTGTGCCTATAGACTCTTCCTGTAGTGTTGAGACCTCCTTGTAGAGTGCGCAGCCTCAAGCTACTCTCAAGGAGGCCGAATACACTTTGTGGTCTGGGTGTCTGACCAGAGAAGTTCATAGTTGAAGCTCTTCGGAGAGTGGCATCTCCTCAATATAGTTGTTATGGGTGACTTGTTTCCCCTTGTATTGCTCGATTGCTACTCTGGCACAACGTTTTTAACAAATAGTTTTTCTTGTGGACTTGCAGAGAGTTGGTCAAGTAGCGTTGACTGTAAAGATTGAGTCTAGTGGTTTCGGACACCAGATAATCAAGCTTACAGAGACCAACTCAGTTTATTATCAGCACGGCAAAGGTACAGAAAAGCCCTAGTTATCTAATCTGGACAACACCAACTTTTATACCACGCCCCTCACACAGGGTAGCATCCCAGAACACTTATCTAGATCCATCCTCCTTGCGTTCAGCCTCTTTGGAGTAGCCTGAGGTTGTGCACTCTACACAAAGAGGTCTTAACGCTGCAGGATGAGTCTCCTGTTCGGCTCCCGTCAGGGCCTCTGCACCTCAGACACTGGCAGCATCAGCATTCACAGATGCACACTCCACCTCACCAAGCCAGTCAGGAACCTGTGCGTCTTGTTCGACCCTCAACTGTCATTTCTACCCCACGTCCTTGCCATGATCCGCTCTGCCTTCGCCCAACTCCACAACATTGCCCGACTGCCACTGCCTCACCCCTCAGGCCGCCGGAACCCTCATACAAGCTTCCTTACATCCAGGCTCAAGTAGGCCAACTCCCTGCTTGTCGGCCTTTCCAACTCTTCCCTCCACAAGCTCCAGATCATCCAGAACTCTGCTGCTCGTGTCCTCTCCCACACCAGGCTCCGTGACCCCACCACCCTCGCCCGGCTCCACTGGTCCCTCACAGGAGAGAATTCAAAATCCTCGTCCTCACTTTCAAGGCTCTCCATGGCCTTGCTCCCTCCTACCTCTCTGACCTGCTGACCCCCTATCAACCTGTCCACTCCCTCCGCTCAGCAGGCGGTTGGGCCCTCAGCCTCTCTGCCCCCACCCTCAGAGTTACAGTGACTTTAGTGCACTATCTTTTTAAGCATTTTCCATAAAAACAGCAGTGATTCTGTGCTATATTTATGCCCAGCTGGTTTACTGCGTTCGTAACTTGGCTTTCTTTCAATCATGGCTGCAAGGCCACCTCGTTATCACACACAGACACCGTTTCTTTGTCTTATTTCTCACATAGCACAGACCATCTGTTTGCACATCCCTTGTCCTTCCAATAAAGAGCATTTATTAAAGACATGAGCAAGAACATTAGATAAGGAAAATACAGTATCTAGCAAGGTTATAAGAGTACAATTATCAACACAATTCCCCTTAAACGTACATCAGTACACCTGTTCAGTAATTTTCATTATAGGCAAAATCTATAGCAGTACAACAGCAATCCCCTAACAGAGTTTCATCAGCCTACAATGATTTAGTTGCTTCTTTGGAATAGGAGAGAAATAAGACATCACACTCCAAAGGGTAAGGGAAGATGAACATGTCTTCTAAACAGCATACTGGGGTTCTTCATGATTTAATTTATTTTAATCTAATTTGGCCAATATTTTTGATTCAAAAGTACTGTCTCACAACCAGTGAAAATCATCTATCAGAATTTAGCGTATTTTCAGAGACCTTCATAATTAATCTTTCGTAAAGCATACACCAAAAACTATATTAATGTATGGTGCAATTTATTCCGATAAAAGCAAAAATGAACCTAAACTTGGGTGTGTGTGTGTATTTTTAAATAAACTAGACAGAATTTGTTTTATCACTAAATAAAAAAAAATACCCTGTAGTGAATTTGAAGCCTAAATGGTAAGCTCAGGTCTCGGATGTCGGTTCCCGACTTATTGAGCTTGGCAGGTTCAGCGTTATTTGATCCCTCTGATTAAGTTGCTGCCTTGCAATCCCTCCCAGGTATCGGTTACCTCTATGTAATGGCAGCAAGGCCTGCACTAACAATACAGTAGTCTCTTTTGTATTTTACTTGTGGAAAGTGGCTCGGCCAGAAAGTGAGCTGGTATTTGTGGTTTGGCATAGGTTTACCTGTCATGTTGCATTGCCACTGCGCTAATCTGTGTACACGGTTATCACATGTGAGTGCTGCATTCTGAGGCAAATGGCACAGTGAAAGTTTATGTATTGTGCAATGTTGGTAAAGAGCGCGACCACTTCCTCATAATGCAAAATTTGCTGAGTCAGAGTGCAGCCTGGCTCCCAATTCCTGTAATAAACTCACAGCGCTGTTCTCTCTGAAATGAAACTGAGAAGGAAATGCTTTGCAATGGTGTTCTTAAGTGACTCATTTCCTGATGGTATTTTGTTTGTTCCTCCTCCTCCTCCCTTCTAAACAGAACAAAATTGTAAGGAAACGCACTATGGGACCGACCTGGTTGAAGTGAAGGGAGCTGAGAGCAGGAACGTGGTTCGCAGCTTTGATAAGAAGCAAATGAAGGAAAGGAATTCAGTGCAAACAATTCAATCCCAAATGGCACCCAGAAAGGAAATTGAGGAGCTCAGAAAAAGACACAGCCCAGAACGGACCTTCCTTCCCCGTGTTGTGTACCCGCTCAGATCTCACAATCCAGATGACTACTTGAAAACCAATCCTTACAGGACCGGGAGCTACAGTTACAACAAGCAGTTACATTCCCCCATACAGTCCTCATTTACCCCCAACCTGTCAGTTAGAAGCAGCCCAGAGCAAAGCTTGAAAAGCTCAACGCCGTACAGCAGTCCCGAGACTCATGTTTCTCCTCCAACTCCTTCATCTCAGGAACATAAAGAAGGCTTCCCTTACTTAAGTGGACCCTACAACAGAGAAGGATTGGGGTGCCTCCCAGCCTATCCCTCTCCCAGCCAGCTATCTCCAGCTCTCTTACAATCCTATGGTTCAGTTAATGCCCAGTACTCCAGGTTCTTCTTACCTCATTACTCGGTCAGCAATGGCTTCAGTGCTCTCAGTGGTATAAACGGCATGAACAACTTCAATCTCTTTCCCAGGATGTATCCGATTTACAGCAGCCTCCTGGGAAACGGCAGCATCTCCCAGCCCATATTCAGTCAGATGGTCCTGCCCAGCAAGTTGCCCCTGGAGAGAGGCCCTAGTCTGCTGTTCCCCGAGCAGCCAAGGGACTTTCGCATTCCAGCATCCAACAGTGCCTTCTCCATCATAGGCTCTGCGGCCAGTTTGAAGGACAGGACTTCCAGCCCCACCAACGGGTCGTCTCCGACTGCAGGCACAGCTGCATTATATTCTGAACATTTAATGCAACCCAAACCTACCTCAGCAGGGCTGGTCAACAGCATTGAAGAAGCTGGTAACCTCAGCAAGCCAAAGAGAAATCTCACCGGTTACAAGACACTTCCTTACCCCTTAAAGAAACAGAATGGGAAGATCAAGTATGAGTGCAACATCTGCTTCAAGACCTTTGGACAATTGTCAAACCTCAAGGTAAATTTTAGTTTTCCCCACAGGGTCATTTTCCTTTTTGGTCAGAACAGTGTCTGATGTGCGCTCAAATGCATCACTATCCTTAAAACTATCCAAATTAAACTACTTAGAGTTCAAATTGTATGGAAATGTCCCCTCTGTTTGGAATTGACTGTGTGCACTTTTTTTTCACCCCCCACCCGAGGGATGCACCCTGCTCATCTAATCCCAGAACAATTAGCAGGAGGACCCCAGAGCGTGTTTTGGGTACTGCTGGAGTTCAACCAGCTAGACCGTGCAGCTTGCCATTGCAAACGTTAGATGATGATAATTGCCCTGAATTATTATTCAAACTTCAAGACCTCCCTCACCCCTTGTGCTGGGTTTAATTAATTTCAGAAGGGAAAAGTATGGGATTGTAATCGGTCTCAGAAATGTAATTGGTCCCACTGCTTTGGATCGGAGGAGGAATAAAATCAGCCAGGGGTCCTTCGCTCCTGATTACAACTAGAAGCCCTACTGGGAAATGCACATGTGTGATGTCTTAAGGATTGCACACGTGTATATTTTTTTCACTCCCCACCCCACCCATAACTCGCTGAATGCTTTAAAAAAAAAGCAATCTTCTCATTATGAAAACTTGTTGGGAAACCTTTGAATGATGAGGTTATATTAAGACTCCATTGTCTGGGCTCATGTGGTAAGAGAGACCACAGTGAGGTTACAGGTGGAATGCTTGGGTCTGTGAAATCTAGAGTAGAGGTCAACGAGAGAAGTGAAGAGAATTGGAAAGGGATGGGGAGTAACTTCCAAAGATTCATTTTGAAGCTTTAGTAAGGAATAAAACATAAATTTCTGAGTAGAGAAAGCTATGGAAAGTGAGTTATGTAAATTCACATTGTAGCTATTACACACATTTGATATTGTATTTCATAAGTTAAATTGATGACTGCATTATTTTCTACACTGGAAGGCTTTATGGTAATCTATGAAATCTCATAATAAAATTAGTGTTGTATCTAAACTGAGCTCTAACAGGCTCAAAATTCCACTAAGTCTTAACTTGTAAAATTTAAGATTATTTGGAATTGTGAAAAATTCAGTCTTAATTCAGAAGCCTGTTCTTTTTAACAACTGCGGAAAAATAGCTTCCTAGTTAAGACTGATTGAATAGTTTTCACACAATTCTGTGCGATCTTAAATTTTAAAAACAGTTCAATCTAAGACTAGTGGAATTTGTTTCATGTGTTTGTGTTGTAAAAACTATTAATCTTCTCATAGGTTCACCTGAGGGTACACAGTGGAGAAAGACCCTTCAAGTGTCAAACCTGCAATAAAGGCTTTACACAGCTCGCACACCTACAGAAGCACTTTCTGGTTCATACTGGGGAAAAGCCACATGAATGTCAGGTAAGCCAAAGTCTATACGAACACTCAATGGGGGAGCGCTGTGATTTCGGAGGTGCCGTCCTCCAGACAAGATGTTAAACTGAGGTCTCAACTACCTGTTCAGGTAGATGCGAATGATTCTGTGGCACTACTTGAAAAGAGAGGGGAGTTTCTCCTGGTGTACTGGACAACAATCTCCCAAATAAAATTGATCATTTACTTCATGGCTATATGCAAATTGGCAGCCATATTCACCTACAAAGTACACAGATTTACACAGTAAATCCTGTGAAGCACATTATAACCAATGGAAGAATTATCATATTATTAATTTTAATTTTTTTTGACCTGAGCACACACAAACTAAGTTTTTTTTAATTTAAATAACACATCTGAATAACTTAAGGTCTAAAATATAACTTCTTTGTGTGTAATACATTGTTACATATTCCTCTCCAACATGGACAAAAATGATTACAATAAATTAAATTTAATACCGCACATAATTCTGGAAAATTGATAGATTTAATTTGGAAGCCGGATCTGTTTTAAGAACTGCTGAAAACTGGCTTTCAAATGAAGGCCTGAATTTTAAGAATTTTCCATATCTTTGCAACAATAAAGTTTCATGTCAGAATGGTCTTACCAGCTAAAAGCAGGTGGGCTGAGCTCTTTAATAAGCAATTCGGTAAAAGCAGTGCTAAATTGTTACATGGGAACTTCTCATGATTTATTTTAAGCTACCTATGGTTTATTGCAAGCTAATAGTGTGAGAAAGGGGGATGTCTTACACGCTTGTGGCCTGCTATAAAAGGTGAAGCTTTACAAATGCCTTTCAAAGTGCAATAACATTTGTTCCAGTTTCTGGTAATGCGATCCACAAGTCTGTCAGAGCATCAGAGGTCTCCCACTCAATGGTTGCTGCACTCTTGTTCTTAGTAATTTGACTGTGATTCACCCACAAAAGGTCGTTCCATAGTGTTAGATACAGGCCTTGATAGATTACAGGTGAATTAACTCGAGGCCTCCTTTCAGTATAGAATTGAATCACTGAACCCAATGTTCAGTGCTGATCTACTTTGTGACATGTTTGCCAGAGGAGTGATCAGGCAATAGTAGACACCTAGTAATACTGAGATGCAGTCTTACCCAAACACTTGCCTTCTTCAAATAAGGCATATTAGGTATGATAGCAGTGGTGACCTTTCAGAATCTAACTGTATTGCTGAGAAACTGCTCTTCTAAGTAAAACTGAAATACTACAGCAGCCTTGTTAGTCCAGCTGAAACTGTGACTAAAGTGGTTGGAATATCCCCCTTCTCTCCTCCTCCCCAGCACCATAAGCACCATTGGTGATTTAGGCTTCACTGATCTTGTAGGTAAGCAAGTTTGCCAACACAAAATAAAGTCATATTTGATAATTCCACAACAACGCAAATACATTTAAGTGCTCCAAGACGCTACCCCATGTGAAGGGCACTACATAAATGCAAGCTGTTGTTGACAATAATGACCCTAAAACCTTGTTACAGTTCAGTGTATAAAATTCAATACTTTTTTTAAAATCTCATAAAACTATCAAATATTCTTGCAGTAAAATGAATACAATACTAGTCTCCTAATAACTCTTCTTTTCCTCTGAGCAGGTTTGCCACAAAAGGTTCAGCAGCACAAGCAATCTAAAGACCCACCTACGGCTGCACTCAGGAGAAAAGCCTTATCAGTGTAAGCTCTGCCCAGCTAAATTCACGCAGTTTGTCCACCTCAAGCTCCACAAGCGCCTGCATACCAGGGAGCGCCCTCACAAGTGCCTCCAGTGCCACAAGACCTACATTCATCTTTGCAGCCTGAAGGTGCACCTTAAGGGAAACTGCCCGATTGCCCCGAGCGCTGGCAAGTCCCTGGAAGATTTGCACCACTTCAATGAGGAAATCAATAAGTTCGACATCAGTGACAGTGCGGACAAGCTGGATGATATGGAGCACGGCAGTGATGTGGAGTCGGTGGTCGAGAAGCAGATCTTTACCATGCTAAGGAGAGAGGCGGAAGAATCCAGCTTAAAAAACACTTTTCAAAGGAACCTGGGGAGTGGTCTACTCTCTTCCGGGTGCAATCTGTACGAAAACGTGGAAGCTTCAGTCCTTAAAATGCCTCGCGGTAGTCCTCTACCTCTCATACCTATAAAAGTCAAGCAAGAAGCAATTGAACCTATTGACCCTTGAGATGAGGTGTGATGTGTTTATGACTTCAGCAGCCAGGGTGCCTGTAGCATTCGAATGTACATAGGATTTCTGCAGTGCTAGATAAGCCTGGCCTACATAATGAGAGCTTCCCTTCGCTGGGCACCTCTTCATTCGACTCAGGGCATCTCCGAAACATTTGACAGGACTTTATAACAAGCCTTGACAAAGACAATCATTTAAACATAATTATTTTTCCAAGAATAATACTCAATAATTTATTATGCAATTTAGATTGTTAAAGCAATATTCAGACATAATGTTTACAATGACCCAATCTGTCATTGTAATCAAATATCAAAATGTTTTATTTTTATCTTCTCTGTTGCCATTCTTTGTAGATACTTAAAACTGTCTTTTTTTAGTAAGTTAATATTGGGGGGAGGAGGGAGGGAGGAAGAGAAGGGAACAACTTAATGAAATTAGAAATGTTTTTGTAAAGTACTATTGCGATATGGTGGTGTTTTGCCAAAGCGGGAAGTTTTTAATCGTTGGATCGTTTATCCTATTGTAGTCTTTCTTTCTCTCTTTCTTTCTCATTCTCTTTTTATCATCCTCTTTTTCTTTCTCTCTTTTCTTTCTATGTTGAGACCATCATATTTTCAGTATTGTGTTATTTACTGAATTGCGGATGAGGTGGGAAGAAGATTGTAAAGCTGAACAACAGTTACCTCATTGCTTGTCCAGTGGCGCAGGGACGTTATGAATGATTGTTTTGCTGCTTCACAGTAGGATCCGATTAGAAATAAACACCATTCAGGAATTCTGCTGGCTTGTGCTTCAAGAATATGTCATGGATATGTAGCAGCAATTGATTTTATTTAATAATAAAAGAGTAAAGAAAACAACCTGCTAAGTTGTGAACTACAGAGTAAAACAAAGACGGACTTGTAATCGACTTTTTTAAGTAACATTTGGACCATCGGATGCTCTGTTAAAGCCGGAAACAGTGCAGAGAGGTTGATTTAATAGGAAGTTAGACTTGTTTCTGATCGGTTTAATGCAAACCAAAGCATCACTACTCTTATCACTGAACACACTTTATTTCTTTGCTCTGTAATGTTTCTGTGTTGCTGTTTTTAACCCTGCGTCGGCTACATGAACTTAGTGGCACCCCCGTCCAAACTGGACTCTGCTTGCAGACTCCGTTCCAGTGAATGTAGCTGAAGCCAGTCTGGAAACTTTGCCGATGGTTGGATCTTTCCATTCTATTTTTCATTAATTTAAATTTCCTCTTTGACCAAAGCAACCAGGCATTTTGCAGCATCCGGACTTTTGCTTTTCAATCATTAGGAAACCTGCATCTTTTGTTTACATACTGGTTTACATTGTTATTTATGTGCAACATGTCCAAAAAATGTAAATTAAAATATAAATGTCCACTGAAATGATCTTACTGCTATGCTTTAAATTTTATTTGTATGTATGAATTACATTGAAAAATGAATTATTCACTACTGCACCAACCAGGAAAGTGCTTTCACTATGGAGCCAGAAGCTTTGAGCAGTAAAATGATTGAGAGAGAGAAGAAAAAAGTCCTTACATTTGATATACTGTACTTGGGAGATGTCAAAGCACCTCAAAGTACTTCACAGGATTTACTATAAACTATTAGCCTATGTATTTTATAAATGAACATGGCAGGCAATTTATGCAATTTAGGCATTGCCTTCTGGCTTGGAAGCAAAAGTGCTACCAATTGGGTCAGGCTGATACCAGCCTTAGATGTTGGGAAGCAGCTGGGAAGTAGCTTAACAGTGACAACAACAACTTGCATTTATATAGTACCCTTCACTCGGGGTAGCATCCCAGGGAGCTTCACAGTGGCAGAGTCTGACAACGAGCCGGGGGAGATGACCTTAAGCACGATCAAAAAAGGTCTTCAGGCAGGATTTGAAGGTGGGGAGGGAGGGAGTGAGTTGAAGTCTGGCAAGGGCTGGTGTGTTGGTGGCAAGGTGTTTTTTGCAGGTGAGTAACCAAACGGCAGAGTTTTGAATTCATTTGATGTTGTGGAGCTGGGGAGACCAGAGAGGAAGGCATTGGAATAGGCAAAAATAACGAAGGCATGGTCGAGGGTTTCAGCTGCATTGGTTGTGAGGTATGGACAGAGACAAGCAATGTGGCAGAGATGGAAAAAAGCAGTCCTGGTTAGGGAATGGATGTGTGGTAGAAAGGAAAGCTGGGGATCGAAGTTGCACACAGATTTGGAGAGTCTGGGGGAGAGTCCAGGAGGTTGAGGAGTTCAGACCCACAGGAGAGAAGATGTTGACGGGAACCAAAGAATATGGCTTCTGTCTTGCCAACATTCAGCTGCAGGAAATTTGCACTCATCCAGGTCTTGATGTCTCAAACAATATGGCAGGACATCAGCAGACTGGGAGTAGCAGCTGAAGGAGGAGAAGTAGATTTGGGTATCATCCGCGTACATGTGAAAGTTGACCCCATGTTTGCTGATGACATCGCTGAGAGGGAGTATGTAAATGATGAAAAGAAGGGGGCCAAGGATGGAGCCTTGGGATACCCCGCAGGTGACCGGGTTGGGGGCGGGAGGAGAAATCATTTGCCGAAATATATTGTTGGCAGTTAGTCCACTACAGTGGATAAGGGAGGAGAGACGGTGGAGGAGTGTGGAGTGGAAGACTGTGTGGAACACGGCAGAGAGATTCAGGAGGACGAGGAAGCAGAGGAAGCCCTGGTCACAAAGAGAGAAGGCGTCATATACTTGTGATGAGACATTGACCGAGTTTCCAGTTACCTGTTCTTCAGGTGGACAGTAAAAAGCCTGTAGCATTATTCAAACAAAGAGATTTTCTTATGTTCTAGCCACCAATCCTCCAGATTAGTTAATCATTCTCCTCACGGTTTTTGATGGGAACTTGTACAAAATGACTGGCATTTTTTTCTATACATACGAAGAACAGTCACCATATATTACTGTAATTATCGTAAAGTGCCTTGAGATGCTTTGAAGTGATAAGACACTGTACAAATACAAGTTAGTTTTCTTTCCTTCCTGAGGCTGAGACTTCCCTTCCCCACTCTATTACTCGTCTTTCCTGATAGAACACAGTTTGTGAGTGTTCCAGTGGTAGAATCCATAACAGTGTTCAAGTGAGAATTGGATAAATATTCACGGAAATAATACGGAATATGGGGAAAGACGGAGAGAATGAGATTAGATATCTCCAGTGGGGGAGCTAGACAACTATATACACAATCTGTATTAAGAGATTGCTGCTCTTAGTTGCACACAAAAAGCTGCGACAAGAACTCTGCAATTTGCATCCAGCACAGACAAACAGGATAATGAAACAGTCATCTAAAATAATACTTGTCTGAATAATCGAAGAAAATGAGTACACTCAATTGGTGAATTTTTTTTAGTGACAATATAATGACATAGATTTGTATATTAAGTACACAATTCACACAAACTGTTTTCCATGTATTCAAATGAATGTAACTTGCACCTCAGGATGTCTCTATTCTCTTTGTATGGAAATATGTGTCAATTAAATACTAGCAACTTAACTGTACAAGCTTCAATAGCTTGTTTGCAAAGTTACATTTGAAAATTAATGAATTATTGTGTAATTGCTGCAAGTTTGAATTGAATGGAATATTCAAAAATACCCAATGTTTTCCACATACATATACAAATACTTTTCCACAGTTCGTACAAAAATGGCTTTGGAATTTAAGAATTTCCCACAATTCTGGTGATCTTAAATAATAATTAATTAATAATAATAATTATTTATTAATAATAACAATAATTTGGTCACTCACTCCTCGACTGTTTGTGGGACACTGCTGTGTGCGAGTGGCTGCCACGTTTCGCCTGCTTTATAGTATATTCAATCAATCAATCCACTTTACAGTATATTCTGTAAAGTGCTTTGAATGTCTCAAAAGGGCACTGTATAAAATGCAAGGATTATTATTATTATTAAACGTATGCAATGTCTTTGTTGTAGTAATTCCACTACAACTACACTGTTGCTGCGAATGGCTTTGATTCACGTTGTACTTAATTGAATACTCCCTGGTGTAACAGTTGCGAGCAGCACCCACATATACATCTGCAAACTAGGGATTATTTTTTGTTGTTGGCTGATGCATCATTTTTGATGCATGTCAAAGGTTCGTCGGTTATGAGCTCTCCTGTGAAAGATAGGCCGATTCTGGCCACAATGCCTTAACACACACTGCTAAAACTGGGGATCATAATCTTTATATGGTGTACCCGTAAAGAACATTGTTGCTTAATGTGGTAGAAACAATGGATAAATTTGTTGTTAGAACTCATGAAAATTCCAAAGAAACTACAGCTGCTTCTGCAGAAATCATTGAACTTCCTGCAAAGAAGTGAAATTGGTCAGAAACGGAAATATAGCATTGTTTTTAAGTGTCCTGGGAGAATCGATTTGCAGTCATTGACAAACCACGGAAAAACATTTTGCCTTCTTTGCAGAAAAGAAGAGGACTATAGAGGATTTAACATCAAATGTTAAATTTCAATTTGATGTATTTGGAATTTGATAAGAAATTTCCGTTGAATTCTGCTAAGCGTTGCAAAGAAATTCCAAGAGTTAAAACAGAGTTTGATTCGCAGCAACAAGTGCTGGCAAAGTTTCTGGCTGTGTTGGAACTCATAACTCAGGCCAACCACAAAGTTTCTTGGATCCTGGCTCGTCTAAAAATGCCATTTTCCAATGGGGAAATGATCAAGAAAATTCTGCTCACTGCGATGAACACTCTTCTCAAGAATTTTGATGATATCATGCAAAAGTTGCAGTTGAGTCACCAGACTCTGCCTGACAGAATTAAGGAGTTATTATCTGATTTTGAGTCGCAACTGGTGGCTGAATTCAATGACTGTTTGATATTTTCTTATCACTGGATGAAAGTTGTGATATCCAAGATGTCCTCAGCTGGTGATGTGGATTCAATTTGTGGCGCCAGATTTTCAATATTCACAAGATGCTTCAAGGGCTGGATGAACTAAGAGTTCAAACATGAGGTGTCGATATTTTTCAAGCATTACAGAAAATCTGCAAATAGTTTGGCTTTAACTTCCAAAAGCTAACATCTGTGACAACTGATGGAGCTGCTGCAATGATCAGTATGCAACTTGGATTTGTCACTGAATTGAAGAAACATCGATTGCAATTGGTTGTAACCAGAATGCATTGTTGACATTGCATTACATCATACATCAGGAGACTCAGCGCTCAGGTGTCCAAAAACGACAAACTGAAATTAGTGTTGGAGTCCAAATTGTGAACCAAATTCGCCCAAAGCCATTTTCCAAAGACAATTCGTGGAACTTCTCAAGGAGGCCAGTTAGCCTTATGTTGGTTATGGGTAAACCTTTGGAGAAAATAATAAGGAACTAGGTTAGCTATTACATAGATAGGCAGGTGTTAAACAGGGACAGTCAGCACAGAGTTGTGAAGGGCATGTTTGAACAAGTTAATAGAGTTCTTCGAAGAAGTAACTGCAAATGTAGATCAAGGCAATGTTATGGATGTTGTATGTTTGGATTTCCAAAAGACATTTGATAAGGAGCTGCACAGAAGACTGGTGGAGAATCTTAGGGCACATGGAATGCAACAAGCTGAGGAACAAAGAGATTTGGGAATCAGGTATATAAGTCATTTGAAAATGGTTTACGAGAATGATTCTGGGGATGAAGGGCTACAGTTATGAGGAGAGATTGGTGATGCTGGGTTTGTTTTCATTGTAGCAGAGAGGGTTGAGGGGGGACCTATAGAGGTGTACAAAATTATGAGAGGTTTTGTTAGGGTAAATAGGGAGAAGTTGATACCATTGATAGGGGTCAGTAACTAGGGGATGTATAGTCATAAGATAACTTGGAGTCCTGTAGCTCAGTGGTTAGAGCACTCGCTTTGCAAGTGAGAGACCTGAGTTCAATTCCAGGCAGGGCGAAACCTTGGGCAAGTTTCCTTACTCCACACGGAGCCTAATAATAATCCCTCCAAAACCAAAAACAATAATAAAATTAGTCATTTTCAATCTACGACTGTTTGTGGGACATTGCTGTGCGCAATTGGCTGCCGCGTTCGCCCACAAATATACAACCAATTCACTGTACAGTGTGTTCTGTGAAGCGCTTTGGGACGTCCTTCCGACGTGAAAAGCGCTTTATCAAATGCAAGGATTATTATTATTATTATTATTATTATTATTATTATACCTTAGGAGGAAACTTTTGACCCAGAGAGTTATCGGAATATGAGCAATGGAGACAAAGATCATCGTAGCTTTCAAGAGGGAAGTTGACGGGCATATGAAAAATAGGGGCTTGAAGGGGTTTGGGGATAAGGTGGAGCAGTGGGATTGAGGCCATTTTCTTGTTCTGTGAGCCAGTGCAGACTCAATGGGCCTAATGGCCTCCTTCTGCAGCGCAGATTTCTATTTTTCTATGTTTCTATGACGTACTGAGAGTCTCCTCTCTCTGCTGACTGTAATGGTCCTATATGAAGTAAGTTTGGCTAAATTTAACTCAGTTC